GACGACGAAATACGATCGACGAACTCACGACCGACCATCCTCCCCTCCCCCCCCGACCCGTCACCATTTTCAACGGCGAACACCGCGGCGACCGCGCCTGCACTTTCACGCGCGAACAGTTTCGCGGGACACTGCCCGTGACGCCGATACGTTTAACAACCGAGATTGTCGTTACGGCTGTTTTCGGCGTCAGGATACGTACCGGGGAAAACCCGAATACGTCGAACAGGTATCGCCGCGGTGTTACCCCGCCGCGCGATCGCTGCGGACGGACGCGCGCCTACCGCTTTCGGCGTAACGGAAACTCCCGTAACGCTGCAGTTTTGTATGTTCCCCCGCCTCGAAAACCGAACGTCCGTGGAAAAACGATGACCGCGTCCGTAACCGCGGTTAATGAACCGCTCGCCCACACCCCCCCACCCATACCGCCGCGCCGTACCGGGTCCCGTCCGGCCGCGGTCGCGGCTCGCGCAGTACCCCGTCGTCGTGCGTTTCGTCGTCCGATTCCATCGCGCAGTATCGTTTTAATTTTAATTCTTCGTCGCGTTTTTCTTTTCGATTTTCGTTTACCGCCGTCGCCATCGCCGCCGTCGCCATCGCCGCCGTCGCCATCGCTGCCGCCGCAGCCGCCGCCGCCGCCGCGTCGATTAAACGCGCCGAACCGTCGCGAGTGCCGTCGAAAACGATAAGAACATCGTGGAGGAAACGCGTTGGAGTTTCATTTCGGAGTTGGAAACGACGCGCCAGACGGTAAACGGAGTGTTTTAATCGGCTTTCCTCGGAGTGCGAATTCACTCTCTCTCCCACACTAGGCTATATATCTCTGTTGATCCGTTCGGACCGACCGCGCATCCCGGGGTGAATGTTCCGTCTACGGGCATGGATGTCCCGGCACACGCGGTTCCGTAACACAATTATACTTTGTTTCTGTCGCCGCGACACGTATCGGGCACACGGAATATTAAGTGCCTTTTTTTGGCAAGCGGAGTTACGGATGGTTTACGCGTTATCATATTCCCTCGTGCGCCGCTATCGGAAACTGTATACCGCCACGGCCGTAACAGTTACCGTAAACCAAGGGCGGGCCGCATACGTATCGATCTGCGTATTATCGTATATTCAAATAGTGTCCGTTCGCTGTTCGCGCGAAAGAAAAAATTCCAAATGAGACGTAAAATTAACTTCGACAAACGCGCGGTGTGTTCGGTTCTGAATGTTCGACGGTAGACCGATAAATAGAACGGCTGTGAACGGGCGTGGCAGAGATGTGAGTGCTTTTTATTTAATTTTATTTATTTATTTTTATTTTTTATCGCGTTTACATCTCTTTTTTCCAACAACATTGCCCATAGTTTTAGAGCATAGATTTTTCTTCTGAAAAAATATAGTTGTTTAATTCAATACTTTTACCTTTAAAAAAACCAATCAAATAAACAAACTAGAAAATTTCAAAAGTCTATAAATACCTCAAAAATCGATGGATTTTCAGAAAAATGTCACCGCTCCTAGAAATAGTTAGTGTATAAGTATTTAGTGTAAATATCTGTTCTTTACGCGTTGTTTAATTGAAAAACAACAACTAAACCAAATCGAAAATTATGGAAAACATTATTGTATACAATATCCTATTTCAAGAAAAATAAAAAAAAAAAATGATCTTGTCGAATATAACATTTTTTACATCAGCAAGGTAAAAAATCGGTTCACTTCGGAGTTACGAAACTCGCTCAGAATCGAAAAAAAAAATATCATTATCAGCGGTGTCTATGTTGAAAATATTATTAAATATTTCGATTAACCAATGTTAACGATGACAGTATACTTCGTGTAAACACTGGCGATAAATTAAGGTTTGAGGTCGCGGTCAATACCGTGAAATTACGTTTGTTGTTTGTTTTAACGATTTTTCAAAGAAATATGAATTAAATTTTGACGTAATATACGACGAATAATTTGTGAAAATATTTCAAAAGTGCGACCGTCGGGCGGAGGGCGGTGGGGGGAGAGGAATTGGGGCTTAACGTTTTTAACGACAATAAAAATCACCGACACGGTCGAAAAATGTGTTTATTCGACCTCGACACGCGCACCAACCGAGTTTAATGTACGGAAACGCCGGCGCACGACCGAATTCGACGGGATCGCAAAATATTGTACAAACATTTCGGTTCGGGGATACAAAAGGGTTTGAAAACTTTTACACGCATTACTTTATATATGTTTATACAGGTACGTGTTAAGGGACACGAGTTATTATTTTAAGACCTCCGGGCACAAAATTAATTGGTAATTAATTAATTATACTCTACGGACGGTACGATAATTATAATATATATATATATATATATGTGTGTAACTATTCAAAAAACGCACATGCACGCATAATATTATGGTATTATTACGGCGTTTGGTTTTCCGTTTACTACGGAATAAACGGCGTACAACCGTGTAAGTATAACGTGTACGCAGGAAAGTAGCGTGTGTAATTCGAAATACATTTTGGATTTTCAAGAGGACGCCGCACTATAACACAACACGTCTTGTTGTTTGTAGTATCCGTCTTGCCGTCGTATATTAAATGGCGCACTATGGTTTACTTTGGATTTCTCCCCTCCCCACAGAGTGGACATTTTTCCTTTTGTTTTAGATTCTGAGCGGATCGAGGAACGTTTTGGTTTTACAACGATGTTCAATTTAATTTTTCTGCGGACAACTTTTCTACCAGCGATTTTACTCCGATTTACAAGTAAATAGCACTTCGTCTCAAAGGAAATCTGACTGGGGTGGAGCTTTAATGAGGTCATTGTTTCGATATTGCCAGGAGTTAACCGATAGAAAGCACGGGAAAAAACGGTAAATAGGTAGAACATTTGAAACACATTATATTATTAAAAAAATACACAAAATGCATATTATTCTACCACAATATGACATATATATCTAGTTGACAAAGCAAAAATGCTTTGTCAGCAATGGTTAATCGTTGCGTAAGGACAGATACGTATTCAATTTCTCTTCTAACTTCCCAAATTCTCACCTTCATAAGTAGCCCACTTATTGCGCGAATTATGTGCATCTTTTTTTGGGTTATTATATATTGGAGGGGTAGAATTTTCTATCCTGTTTGGAAGTGTAGAAATTGTTTTTTAATATAACCTTTTTTTTTTTTTTTTGATTAGAGTGAATTGCATCCTAACATGCAGACTGAGTATTAGAAGTTGGGTTATGGAATACAAACTCCCATTGAAAGAGAACAATATTTGATAGAAAATGACGTCAAATGGGTCTTATCGAATATTTAACTAAATTTACAAATTTACGTATAGGAGAATAAGTTACAGTCAACTAACCGGTATATTGAACTTAAACTAAGTCAATAAACTATCACGTACTTAAAATATGTTATTTATTATTAAGGTATTTAAATATCGTATTAAAAATAATCGAACATAAGTAATAATATTTTATCATAAAATGCGCCTTACAGTAAAATATTCAATATTTCAAAATGATCTATAGAGCACAATATATTTTGAATTAAAACTTGTATGCGACAAATGATCAATGTTTCATAAAAAAAAAGTGTGGTCTGGTTACTAGTGACTTCATTTAATATAACTCAAGATTTAATTAGAGGTACAAGTACTTTTAACTGTTTTAGATGGAATATACTGTTAAAAATCTTATAATGACGAGATTCAAATAAACTAAAATTGGCTTCAGAGTTTTCTCGATTAACACTCGCGTTTTTTTTTTTATTCGTTTTTTTTTTTGTGAGCAACTTTTCTACCATAATTTTTGTTCCGATTAAACAATGATAAGAAACCACTTTTGTAGTATTAAAATATTTTTGGCAGATAAGTAAGTCATTTAATTGATTTCCCAAATAATTTACATAATAATTATCGCGTATGATTTAATTATTTTAAATCGTAATAAATAATATTTTCTATCGGAAATTTCGTTTCAATTTTTCAGTACCAAATCTGTAGCCAAAATATTATACATTTTTCAAACAAACGACGGGAAGAAAATATTCTGAGTAAACACTAATACACAACTATAGTATCAGGTTATTGCACAAACTGGGAAATGCGATATATTTTCACTAAAAGTTGCACTATTGAATTTATGACTATTCGATAAAAAATTTAACGGCTAAATAGCAATTTTAATTTTCATATATTTTCCAACTGTTTTATGTCTCGCTTGTACAATTGTGCAGTGGCGTGCGCAGAAGTACAGGGAAAATATTCTGAGTTGTACATATCCCTCGTTTTCCGTTCGCTCGGAAATACAAAGAACATAGACTATATTAGTAAATTCGTTTTAATCTGGTTATTTAATCTTGAAATGTACGTGTACATTTCGGCCGAGTCATATACACGGAAAAGGCGGATTTATCGATTTAGAAATCGGATTTTTCGGACCCGGCTACCGAATGCCCGCGGCTGAGTCGATTTTATAAAAGACGAAGGCACTAGTCGATTTATTCACGATTATATATTCACTACGTCCATTCTCGTTGAAAATTCGGCTGTATATGAGTTGATTCTCGGGTACCCGTTCACCAGCATCGATATCGGTGAATTGATTCCGTGGCTATTGAGAGGTATGTTGATTCCCTCATTGTTATATATATGTATATCAGTAACGAAAATAACAGGTATTTTATTAAATTTCGTTAATAATTATAATTTATTTTAGACAGCAGTTTTTATAGTTGAACATTCTGGAATAAACGCGTGCTCCATGAGCACTTCAAGTGTTTATGATAGAAGTGATGTATAAGTATAGATACTGATAATCTCATTACCAGATATCAGTTTTCAAAAACAATGTGTTTTTAATGTAGTTTTTACCAAGTGCAAACCTTGACTAATATACACTATGACGATGAATATATAATACCTAATCCAAATAGTCTAAATAAGAAAAAGTTGTTAAGTTAACCTAACATGGTTTAAAACATGAAAAAAAAAAAACAAAAATAAGATAAACTATTGAGACTCGTCATCCAACCTCCTCGTGGTATCTCTTGAATAACGGTAATACGCTGAAGCGCTCATTCAACATATTTATCATATTATTATTGATAGACGACAATGGGGGAGTCAGCTAGTACACAAAGAAAGTTTCGGGAATCAACTCAACAACACCGGAAAATTCCTGGGCTCGCCGACGAACGAAACCCGAATATTAACAATAGAGCATTTGGTCTGTCGCGCGCGTCGTAAACGTTCGGCCGAACGGGTGCACCTAACGCCGCCGCCGTCGCGATTATTTCGCTATTTTACGACCGCCGTCCGTTACTCTATACGCACTTTGTCTGTTAATAACCTCGACGGTAGATACCGTGTATATTAACCCGGTAAACTAAACTTATTAACCACGCTAAAACATAATATTATACGATATATTTTTATTGCTCCCCGAGTTCGTCGTACAACTCGGGCCCGCGTACTACGCGCATAAATCGCCGTGCTGGTACCAATAATCGTAATAGGACGTTCAACAGTGGTTCACATTTTGTGACAATTCGTGCTTGACGATCCGTACCATATCAAACCGCGTTGGATATTTCGGCCGTGAAAGCCATAGACGCTACATACTAGGGACCACTACAGCTGGGTCTTTAGCACTCCCCCCCCCCTCCAATCCCGAAATACTCAAAAAGCTGTTTTATATTATAGGCTAAATATTTTATCCGTATTGTATTCCATAATTATTAATAAACGGAACAAAATACAAATTACCTACCGACAATGCGTGTGTGCGTGAAAAAGAAAGTTAAAAATGTATGATATATTTGTATGCGAACAATTGCAAACAAAATCTATGATTGCTTATTACGAGTATGGTGTAAATGGAATTGTGAAGGTACCGTCTATATGGGTCTGTGATGTGTCTATCACCCGCACCTTATCAAGAGGCATTTCTTCATTTAATCTAATGGAAATCGGAAATTAATCACTGTATAAAAATTAATTTCAAATAAGTAATGAATTATGAAAACTAACGAAATCTAGATGTCAAATTGTTTTATTAGGTAATTTATATTGATAACAGTTTATTTAATCATGATTAACGGCGTGAAACACCCGAAATTAAGCCTTAACCGAAAATGATGAAATTCAACAAGTACTTAAACTAATTTTAATTAAGATTAATATCGGTTAATAACGAGTAAATCGTTGCATGTTTGTGAAAACGGGGCCTAAGCGTTTTGTCCCAGTGCTGATTTCAACTGATTGGTCCTTCATCATTTATGATGAACATCAGCCACATATTATATGCATTCTACATTCAGCCAACTATTGGGCCTCGTAGTTTTAGCGGAATAGCCATCCGTGCCAATGTGCAAAATCGATGGATTTTTGTAGATCGCTTGAATAAATTTGCCAACGTCCATTTTTTTGTATATGCTATAACAGCGAGTTTGTAATTTTCAAAAAATTAATTTAACGAAGTAAGTATTTGGTGAAAATTTCAGATCACTACTATTATATTAACAGAAACCGCGGTGTTGTATAAGTATTTTCGTTTTCCCCTTGTTCGTAGTAATAAAGTTCTAGAAAATTCGGAGAAAAACACATCCTCGACTCACCGAATAAAACATTATTGACTTTATTAAATCCTTAATGTTACAAATAAATTATCCAATAGAGTTTTCGATTGGCGCATTTTTTTCTGGTCGTAAGTTGTTTGTACACAGAAAATAAAATTCAAATCATTGTATAACCAACATAAAATTTTTTTTTGGTACCTACACAAACCATATTTCATTTTGATAATATTATATCAAACGTTGTTCTTCGTGTCCGAATAACATTTTTTTATGCGATAATCTCGACGGTTCAGTGATAATCGCGTTAAAAATAGTTTATACGATCGCGTCCGCGTTTTTATCAATCGAATCGTGTTTTACTCTGCAGTAGCTATGCGGTTTTTTTTTGTTTTAATCTCTCCCCATTTGAATATATACTCGAGTATTAATCACGCAGTTTAATTCTGTTAACTATCCGTGACAGTCAATAAAACGTGGGTACCTGCGGTGAATTTATTTTAGTTTCAAGTACTACTGTATCGCACACGCCCATCGTCGGTCATATATTATAATATGCGTGTACCACATAAAAGTAGTTGATGGTGTCGGCAGCGAGATAAAAAAAAAAAAAAACAAATTAGAACTGATATTGTAGGTGGTAGACGTTTCTATACTTCGTCCCTTGGGTCTTCTGGCTCGTTTATACAGCAGAATAGTGTTGTATTATTGTTTTATATTCGTTCGGTGGGTATAGGCCACCAGGGCTGTTCTAGTGCAGATAGTAGAGATTTTTTTTTCTTTTCTTTTTATTACATGTCGTTGTTGTCGTTCAAAAAACAAACAAGAAGTGACCGAGTATACAAACATGCTTATACGCCAAATGTCTTCTAATAATCTATATGCATATATAGTATATACACGGAAAAAATTTCAAAGTATTTCAAATGGTTTTGCATGAAAATCAAAAATCGTGAATGGCCTTTCTGATGCACCAATTTGATAGCATTCACTTTCAGAAAAGATACTCCACATAAAAATCTAAGTAAGATTTCTCGTAAAAATATTTTTAACGAAAAAAAAAAACAAAATAAACTTTCCAAAAAAAAAAAATAACATAAAGTGAAATAACATACATTTTTTTCTACACTCAGAATCTAAAAAATAATTCTAAATTTTTAAATTACGTATTTGTCACTTTGAACGACTGCGACAATTTATAATCTGTACTCTTATTTTTAATTTAAGTATGGGTGCTAATAAGGTGTACACGGATTATGGACCAGAACAAATTGGATTTACCATAGTAGCGTGTAGAATGATAACACGATGAACATGATTTATTTAAATTCTAATTTTTGTTTTTTTTTGTTTTGCTCTCTGTTAATTCAATTTTATTTTACGCGAAATAATGTCAACACTGCGGTATCATTTAAGCCTTCTTAGAGGATTTGCCGTGATGTTGTCGGAGTTAAGGGCTGCAAGGATCAGTGGATTTAAACCATTCTCAAGGAGGGAGTGAGAGAGTTATGGTTGGCGGATTATTGCTATACTTGAGAGATGGTATGGATTTTTAAGTCTTATACGCTATTTATTTATGGTGTAATAATTTGAAACATAATATATAAAATAATAACACATTATCAATTTATAATTTAGTTTAAAAAGTTGGAATTATATTGTTGCTCGATTTTTTTTTTTTTTGTCCCATAATCGTTAAATGTAGTAATTTTAACGATCAATAAATAATAATAATTTACGATACATTTGTGAGTTTCACAACAATAATAAAAAATTAGGAAAATATTTATCTCGCACCACTGTTATCGATAAACAATATATTCGTAAAAAGAACGATAATTTAGACAATAATGCGAAACAAAGAATTAATTTTGGTTGAAAAAAGTGGAGAAATGTGGCAGGTGTTTCATATGGCAAGAGAATTAGTAATGAGTAATATTTGTAACATAAATAAACATAGGAGAAAAGAGGAAGAAAGGAAGTCATTTTGTTTCTTCCTTCTTGTAAACTCCATTGAAACGGGAGGGAGGGGGTGGATGGGCATTTACATTGCTTCTCTTAAGAAGACTAAATATTTAAAATGAAGCAATTAGATGACACTGAGAATGATATGAAGAAAACAGGTGTATACGAGGACGATTTTGGGTTAAGTGGTAGTTTAGGACAATGGTGGCCGACTCTAAATAGTTGGGATGAAGGCAAAGGAGAATAAAAAAAGCTATGTGATAGTTATTATTGTACAACCCATACGTATTTAAAGACTAAAATATAATAATATAGGTGTATATCGTATACCCGGTGCTAGTACTATAGTTCGGAGCATGGTAATATTCTGCACTGAAATCTATAAATAAAAATACATTTTTGGGAGGTTCAACATTTTTTAAAATAAAACAATATTTTACAATATGTTTCTTAATAAATAGAATATATCAGTGTTTATCTTTTCTCTTTGTCAAAATTGCTAGAATTTGTCTACTTTTAAATTGGTCAAGGAAGGCAACCCCTGAACTTCTCCATTCCCTACGTTTTTGGCTCCCTGGTTCACCCCCTAAAACGAACCTGGGTATTATTACTTAACTCAAATACTTTACAAGCTTTAAGTTATCGATGTAGTGGTAGGAGAAGGTAGGCTGCAGTAATCACTAGTCAAATAGTCATAAAAAGATACTACTGTAGGTCGTTAGATAGGTTTACCTAGGCGTTCACGATTAAACCCGACAATGTCCGTCCTCCTAACCATGCTAACTGGATTTTTCAACAAATATTTATATTTACATTATTCCTAAATGTTTAATAATGGAATGTAAATAAAAATAAAACGTTAAATAAATATTACTACGCTAAGCTGGAGCTATTTTTTATACTATAAAGATGTATTTTTTTTCTTGGAAAACAATTTTTTATTTGGTACAAATACTGTGATTTTCCGTTCGATGGGATTTTATTTGAAAAACGTTTCACTGATTTTTCGAAAAGTATTTGTTTTTTTTGCAATGGCGGAGTGCATAATTATACTCCGTGAGAATTAAATAACTTAAATTGTGTGTAATTTTCACCCCGTTGATACTAAAATATTTGTTTTTTTTTTTTTTTTTTTTTTTAAGGAGGAATTGTCAGCTGTTAGTAAAATTATTTCAATTATTATGTTATTTGTTAAAAAAAACAATATGTTAGTACTCGAATAACCCTATTCCATGCAGTATCACCGAAATTGTTTATTTCGTTAATTGTTTGTCAACCCTTATATAATAGGTGGGCGGTGGTGGATCCATTACGGATATCCGAGCCATATTTTTTACCTAATTGGTGCGTATGGATAATTAATTTTTGTAAAACTGTTTGTATTGTAAACTACGGCGGCGGTCAATACGAAATTTATTTACCTGCCCGCCTTCTTAAAACACGGTTTGACGCCACTGATTCCATTAGAACAGTTCTCGGTATTTCCTTTTCTAAACCGTTCGTACAACGATATTCGTTGTGTTTATTCGTTATTTCGAGACTTTTACTCACGTTTAACGAATATGAAAACAACGAAACAAGAACGTCGTAATTATTTCGCTATTATATTTGTTGTTATTGCGCGGTTATATTGCAACATATTACTAACCATTTTTGGCCGAACGCGTACACTGTAGGTACTTTTACCTATCCGGTGTACGTATGGTTACGTAAACCATAATATATAAATTATTATCAGCTGTACGAGGGCAAAATGATGTTAGCCGGGTAATTCCGAGTATTTCGCGAGGTATCTATTTTACTATATGGACTTTATAATAATAATGATATGTAAATTTAAGTGTACAGGTATGCGCGCCCGTATTATTAAATTGTTTTAATAAATCCACGTTGCAGTTAAATTTTCCACGTTAAATTATTATCGAATGACACGCGGATAATTTAATAACTATACACTCGCGTACATTGCGTTTTATGTTATGTTGTTTGCAACCATCATACAGTACCTTACCCCGCATACGATATTGCGCATAAAATAATGTAATCAATTAAGTACCGACATTGTAAAAATACAGGGCGATCCGTTTACCGCAAACCAGCGATTTTCTCGTCTTCTGGTTTTTCGTTTATTCGAAACCGTTTTACTCTAAATCTTCGTAGATTCGCAACAAAAGTTATCGT